ATTGTATTTTAGCAGGATCTTTGGTGTTTGAAGGAGCGGCACTTCTTGTTACCATAAATGAACTTCACAGGAGCACCCAGGCCAAGGGCACATCATTTTACAAGTATGTCATGGAAAATCATGATCCAAGTACACTCCTGGAGAGCGACCCATCAGTAAGGGCAATCCATACTGTCAAAGCCACAGACCTGAGATTAGGCAAAGTCAGATTTAAGGCAGAAGTTGATTTAGATGAACGAGTTGTTACAAGATCATATTTGGAAAAGCAAGATTTTGACCAAATGATGCAGGAAATTCAAGAAGTGAAAACTCTTGAACAATTAGAAGCCTTTACGCTTAAACATGAAGAAAACATTATTGATACTCTAGGAGATGAAGTAGACAGGCTTGAGAAAGAGTTAAGGAAACAAAATCCTGAAGTTCGGCACGTAGATCTTAAGATCCTATAGACAAGATGAGTGAGTCACTTGGGCTGTGAAGAATGCTTTTACCTTTTCTCCATATATTGCAACCTAAAGTTATTAAGCCCAGGACAAGATGTTTCCTTTTTACCCACACCGGTATGCATGTGGCCCCCCCTTTGTGTTTTTTGTATATAATGATAGTTATAATGATAGTTTTTTGAGTTGTGATAATAGTACTTGCTTTTATGCTGTATGTTGGAATATTTCTATATTTTCCTTTGCTATGGTTGCCCGAATGCCTCATTATGTTCCTTGGCCTGTGGAAGGTCCTTCAACTATGACGTTATTTGGGCCTAGGAGGGATTTTGACATAGAGATGGCCCAATTAGGTTGCCAATGGAAATATTCTGGCTTGTGTGTTACTTCTATTTCATATCAAAATGAAATCTTGCTGCTAATCTTTCTCAGGAAATTTCCAAGTATCTTTCAGGAAATTGGTCTGTGGAATTGGATAAGAAGATGAGAGAACTTCTCAAGTCGATTGTTCATATTAATTCTATTAGAGTGGATGTCTCCCTGGCCTCTGGACTGACTGAATGGATACATCAAGCAATGTCCCATCTTAAGGAATGGGCGGGTTTGGGAGTTTTAGCCCTGTGCCTATTACTGATCAATGGCCTTGCCTGTTGGTGTATGTGCAAAAGGAGAAAGCAACACATCAGAGAATGGGCCTTGATAGTGCAGGCATTTGCAGCTGTGGAGATGGGACAATCTCCTCAAGTGTGGCTTGGCATGCTAGAGAAGGAGTCAGAGATGGGTAAGACTCCTTGGACGTGTTACCAACCTAAGACAGGGACCAAACCAGAGCTGTTTGACTCCCGATGACGGGTAAGGAGCATTGTCGGAAGGGGCAACCTAAGACAAACATTCTCTCTGCCAAAATTAAAGGGGGAATTGTAGGATGCGGGTGTGGTGGCCATTCCAAAATGGCCCCTAAAGCTAACACCTGACTTCCTCATACGCCCCTGAAGAAGCCACATCCATAGGTAATATTGCGCAAGCTCACTGCTACACATAATCAGGCCATCTGCTATGTAGGGCAACATCAGATCTTGCCATACCCACTGTCCTATCACATGCACCGACGTGGCAGGCTCTGATTGGACAAGGCAGAGGGATTTAAGGGTGGTGGAGGAGAGGCTCTGGGGCTTTTTGAAGAATGTAAGGGTTCCTCAATAAGCTGTGTTGGGAAGAAGAACTCCATGTGTCACTGTTTCTTTCCGCTGGTCAGATCGGGCAGCGACACTGTATGATATTTGTCCAAGATCTTCTGGCTTTTATAGTATCTGGTGAGAAGTCAGGTGTAATTCTGATAGGTTTGCCTTTATATGTTACTTGGCCTTTTTCCCTTACTGCTTTTAAAATTCTTTCTTTGTTTTGTGCATTTTGTGTCTTGATTATTATGTGACGGGAGGTATTTCTTTTTTGATCTAGTCTCTTTGGCATTCTGTAGGCTTCTTGTGTGATTATGGGCATCTCATTCCTTAGGTTAGGGAAGTTTTCCTCAATAATTTTGTTGAAGATATTTACTGGCCCTTTAAGTTGGGAATCTTCACTCTCATCTATACCTATTATCCTTAGGTTTGGTCTTCTCATTGCATCCTGGATTTCCTGGATGTTTTGTGTTAAGAACTTTTTGCATTTTGCATTTTCTTTGACAGTTGTGTCAATATTTTCTAAGTTATCTTCTGCACCTGAGATTCTTTCTTCTATCTCTTGTATTCAGTTGGTGATGCTTGTGTCTATGACTCCTGATTTCTTTCTTAGGTTTTCTATCTCCAGGGTAGTCTCCCTTTGTGATTTTTTTTTATTGTTTCTACTTCCATTTTTATGTCCTGGATAGTTTTGTTCAATTCCTTCATCTGTTTGTGTTTTCTTGTAATTCTTTAAAGGATTTTTGTGTTTCTTTAAGGACTTCATCCTGTTTACCTGTGTTCTCCTCAAGTTTTTTGATAGTGTTATTTATTTCCTTCTTTTAGTCCTCTATCATCATCATTAGAAGTGATTTTAGATCTGGTTCTTGTTTTCCTGGTGATATGGGGAGTTCAGGACTTTCTAATGTGGGAGAACTAGGTTCTGATGATGGCAAGTACCTTGGGTTGCTGGTGCTTGTGTTCTTGCGCTTGCCTTTTGCCATCTGGATCACCTTTGTGCAATCTGTGCTGTCTCTGACTGGGGCCTGTCTTTCCTATTATCTAGGTTGTGTCAGAACTGTTTGGGATGGGTTTTGCTGCTGGGGTTAGAGCTGAGGCCCAAGATCTGCTCAGTGCTCAGGTGGAAACCAGAAGGGGGCCCGGGCTCCAGGTCAGGAGTGGATTCCTGGGTCCCAGTAGGTACCGGTTGCTCCCTGATTGGGGCAAGTATTGCTGCTTCCTAGCCTAAGATACTGGTTGGGTTAGAGCTCCAGGGATCCCCACTTCCTCTGGGTTCTGTGAGACTGGGTGCAGCGCTGATTCCCGGGATTTGCTGAGTGCTTGGGCTCAGACCGAAAGGAACCCATGCTCCAGGCTTGGAGTGAATTCCTGGGTCCCAGTGGGTCCCGGTTGCTCCCTGTTTGGGGGCAAGTATTGCCACCTCCTAGCCTAAGATACTACTTGGGTTAGAGCTCCTGAAAGCCCCACTTCCTCTGGTTTCTCTGAGATTGGGTGCAGGGCTGCCTCCCGGGATCTGCCGAGTGCTCGGGCTCAGACTGGATGGAGCCAGTGCTCTGGGCCAGGAGTGAATTCCTGGGTCCCAGTGGGTCCCGGTTGCTCCCTGTTTGGGACAAGTGCTGCTTTTTCCTTACCTGGGATGCTGCCTGAGTTAAAGCTCCTGGGAGTCCCTCTTTCTCTCAGTTTTCTGGGGTTGGGTACAGAGCTGCCACCTGTGACCTGCTCTATGCTCGGGCCCAGACCGGAAGAAGAGGGGGCATCATTTTTTTCTAAAGATTTTTGGTCTCCAACAGTCCCTCCCAGGTTCCAGCTTTCTCCTACATCCAGCCTGAAATTACCCCAGCCCCTTTATTGGACCCACTCCCAAATAGTTCTAACTCGTGTAAATAATGTACACAGGAGTTTTGTGGCTTACTCCTTCTTTCTATCCATGAATGAAATAAAGATCAGTTAAACAATTAAAATATACCTATAATATCAAAGGAAATAGAAACAGTCATTAAAAATCAAAAAAAAAAAAAGCAAAGCCCAGGGCTGGATGGTTTTAGCACACAATTCATCCAGAAAGAAGATCTAGTACTAATATGCAATAATACTCCTCAAACTTACCAGAAAAAAAGAAACAGAAGAAATATTGATAAAATATTTTTACAATGCCACAGTCACTCTAATACTGAAACCACACAAAGACTCAACAAAGAGAATTACAAAGCAATTTCCCTTATGAACATAGAAGCAAAAATTCTCAATAAATACTCATAAACTGAATCCAAGAATACATCAAAAAGATCATCCACATGATAAAGTAGGCTCCAGTCCATATATGCAGGAATGGTTCAACGTATGAAAATGTAACAGTGTAATCCACCTTATAAAAAACTGAATAAAAAACATATGATCATATTGTTTTATGCTCAAAATTTAACATCTCTTCATGATAAAGTTTTCTAGAAATCAGGGATAAAAGAACTTACCTACACACAGTAAGGGCAATATGCAGCAAAACAACAAATTAAATAGGGGAAAACTCAAAACAATTCCACTAAAGACACTAACAAGACAATGCCATCCACTCCGTCTATATCAATTCAATATAGTATTTAAAGTTTTAGCAAAAGCAACGAGGCAACTAAATGGGATCAAAATATAAAGTGAAAAGGAAAAAGTCAATGTATCACTATTTGCAGGTGCTATGACAGTATACAGAAGCAACCCTGAGATTTCTGCACCCTGGCAGCTGATAAACACAAATAAAACAGCAAAGTGCCTGAACACAAGATTAACTCAAAAAAGTCAGTAGCCCTCCTATTTAAAAGTAAAAAATGAGTTAAGAAATGAATCATGTAAACAACATTCTTCACAATAATCACAAATAATATAAAATATTTGGTGTAACTCTAATCAAGCCAGTGAAAATTCTGTTGTCCTATTTAGGGTTTCCATTGCTGTGGAGTGACACCATGACTAAGACAACCCCTATAAAGGACAACATTTAATTGGGGCTGTGTTTCATGTTTAGAGGTTCAGTCCATTATCATCAAGGCTGAAAGCATGACAGCATTCAGGGAGGCATGGTTCTTTAGGAGCTGAAAGTTCTATATCTTGTTCTGATGATGACCAAAAGAAGAATATTTTCCAAAAAGCTAGGAGGGGGAAAAGTCAGCCTACACCCACAGTGACATACTTCTCCCAACAAGGCCACACCTTCCAACAGTGCCACTCCCTATGGGCCAAGCATATTCAAACCACCACACCTGTATGCCAAGAACTCTTTGAAGAACTCTTCAACTCTTTGAAGGAAAAAAAATAGAGAAGATAACAGAAGATGAAAAGATCTCTCATATTCATGGATTGGTATGATTAGCATAATAAAAATATCCCTCTTCCTGCTTCTAGAAGCTTTGCAGGTGTGTCTGCTGTGTCACACTTGTACCATTTTGTGGCAGATAGGAGACAGGCTGTCTAGGTCATAGTGCTCTGACATATGAACATATGAATGGGTAGTAGCTATGATGGTTTGTATATGCTTGACCCAGGGAATGGCAATATATGGAGGTGTGGCCTTGTGGGAGGAAGTGTATCACTGTAGGTGTGGGCTTTAAGATCCTCATACTAGCTCCCTGGAAGACAGTTTCCTCATAGCAGCCTTCAGATGAAGATGGAGAACTCTCAGTTCCACCTGGACAGTGCCTGCCTGGATGCTGCTGCCAGGCTTTAGACTTGATGACTATGAACTGAATCTCTGAACCTGAAAGCCAGCCCCAGTTAAATGTTGTCTTTATAAGAGTTCCCATGGTCATGGTGTCTGTTCACAGCAGTAAAACCCTAACTAAGACAGTAGCCTAATATTCCTGAAAAAATGAGCCTGACATGACCACCAGTCTGAAGCCAGGGGTCTTGAACAGTGAAATAGCCAGATTCCTGTCAGAAATTATTTCTTTGTTCTAGCCTAATATTTAGGTTCCTGCCTGAGATTACTTCTTTGTTCTAGCCTAAGATTTAGATTCCTACCTGAAATTATTTCTTTGTTCTAGCCAAAAGTCAGATTCCAGCCTTAAGCCTACTTCCTTGTCCCTGGCCAATGTCGTATTCCTGCCAAGCAGCCCATTTCCTTTTCCTTGGCCCATGTCAGATTCTTGTCAAGCAGCCCCAAAGGCTCTCCACCTCTCCCACTTTTATATTTCATTAACAAGACTGAGCCTGTCTTATGTCATTGAGACAAGAATGCCTTCCTTACCTGTCATAGAATATGCATTAATAAAAGCAATGCACTTATGTCCTAGATTGGCAAGGCTCTGTGCAGAATCTTACCTGTCCTTGGCTTGCCAGCTAATTTAATAACTGTCTGGAGGTCCATTTTCAGGTTCAAGCCATGTATTTGGCTGCAAACATGTTGATGTTGTTGAAGAAAAGCTTTAACACAATGGGCAGGAATAAAAGTGTTCCCAGTACAAAAAGGACTAGCATGATCAAACTATATATACCATTTTTGAAGCTTGGCCAAAATAGAACTACTGACCTCAGGTCATTGACTATTTGCATTTATTGTATTGGTTGTTCCTTGACTATTTGCATCTATTGTATTTCTAGATCCTCAATCTAGAACTGACCTTAATACATGCATGTAATCAAAATAGTACAAAACCATAAAGGAGGAGGGGGGATGGGATGGGGGTTCTAGGGAGGTGAAATGGGGAAAGGGGATGACATCTGTATTGTAATCAAATAAAATATCCATGAAAAAAAAAAGAAATAGCCAGAGATGACCACCAGTCTGGAACTATGCAGGCCCCATTCACTCCTTAGACCTGGAGGTAGTGTAGACTGGAAGAAGCTGAGACTTAGGGCCCTGGAAGGAAGAAATCCAGAGTTAGATGAATTTCACATGGGGCCTGGTGAGCAGATAACATGAAATGAGCACTAGACATGTGCCATGGTGCTTTGACAAGGAGCTAGCCTGAGATGACCAGCAGTCAAGTGCCTTTTCAGGCTTGGAATGGAACACCTGAGATGACCACTTCCAGTACCATAAAGCACAAACATAGCATTCTTGAAACCATTCCTAAGATGCCTTAGACACTCTGAGATGCTGGGAAGCACTAAGCAGAGCAAGTAAGTGGTAGATAAATGGAAGAAAAAGATTAACAGAAGGATGTAGGAACAATGAAGAGAGGGAGAACTGGAGACCCAAGGATAGTGAGGAATAGCCCAATGTGAGTAACAGGTGATGCCCCTTGAGACAATGATGGGGTCCTGGCACATGCTGCCATCAGGGTCCACATCTGGTTCCAAAGCCCTGCAGCAGCAGGGGTTTGTTACTACCAAAGGCCACACAGAAGTTCCTGGTCTGGGCTGCCATCTGGGGACATGCTGTTATCTGATAGAGAGCCAGAATGGCCTCATCTCTTACCTGGGCACCCTGGGAGAGCTGGCCCTGCCCCTAGCCAGCTTCAGTACTCAGGAGAATGGACTTTACAACTTTGGGAGTTGCTGATGAGCCAGTATATGAATGTGAAATGGACCAGATAGAGATACCCTTCTTCTAGCTTGCCACTCACCTCCTGCAGCAGTGGGGAGTCTTGGGGTCATGGAAGCAGAAAAGCTCTCAATTTCTCTTATCTGCTGCAGCCCTCAGGAAAGAAGGCCCTGCAGCTCACTTGGGAAACACAATAGAGGGAACTCTGATGAGGGAGGAAGGCTGTTATCAGGATGTAAAATGAATAAAAGTAAGTTACAGAAAAAATAAATATAAATTTTAAAAATGTTCTACCTTCTTAGCCATCAGGAAAATAAAAAATCAAAATGACTCTGAAATTCCCTCTTACACCTGACAGAAAGGCTAAGAACAAACCGAAAAGTGACAGCTTATATTAGGGAGGATGTAAACCAAAGGAGACACTCCCCATTGTTAATGAGAGTACAAACTTGTACGGCTACTTTGGAAATCAGTATGGGGTTTCTTGAACAGTTGGGAATCCAGGCCTCAAGGTCAAGCTGTACCACTCCATTCTACCCAAATAATACTCCATTCTACCACAAGGGCACTTGTTCAATTATTTTTATAAGAGCTTATTCATAATAGCCAGAAACTAGTAACAACCTAGATGTCCTCAACTGAAAAATAGAATAAGAAAATGTGGTACATTAACATAATGAAGTATCGCTCAGCTCTTCGAAACAGTGATACCATGTAATTGGAGGCAAATGGATGGAACTAGAAAAAAAGTCATCCTAGTCAAGGTAACCTAGACCCAGAAAGATAAACATGGTATATACTTACATATCAGTAAACACTGGCTGTAAAGTAAAGAATAATGGTTCTGCAATCCACAGATCCAGAGAAACTAATTAACAAGAAGGGCTTAAAGCAGGACACGTAAATCTCATTTGGAAGTGAACATAAAGTAGATGTGGTGGGTAAGGGGGGAGAGAGAAGGGAATAGAACCAGATATCCTATAATTCATGTTCTTTTGTGGCCTAATATATGATCAGTTTCGAGGGAAATTTCTTTCGCTGCAAAAACAGAGTGTTATTTAGTTTTGGGGTAGAATGTTTTGTCAATGCTTGTTAGGTCCATTTGATGTATATTATTCAAAGCCAATATTTCTGTCTAGTTGTTGTCTTGATGACCTGCCTATTGGACATAGTGATGTATTTAAACCACCTGTTATCACTACATTGTTTATTCTGTAACTTTACAGATGAGCTTGTTATTAGGAACTTATTAAAAAACAAAGCTTTTGTACTGCTCAATTAGGTTATATGATAGTTTCGTCTTTACCTACTAAATTATATTTTCAGTGCTATTTCACTATGAACAACCAACAGGCTTCCCCTGACTGTTTATTGTGAAAGGAAAGCAGGGCAGGAACTCAGACACGGTAAAAACCTAGAGGAAGAAGCTTCATGCACTCAATGTATTCCATGAAGGAATACTGCATACTGTAATGCTCTTCATGACTTGCTTAGGCTGCTTTCTTATAGAACCCAGGACCAGTACTCCAAGGATGACCCCTTCAATATAAATCACTAATTAAAAAAATAGTTCAACAATCTTGCCTACAAGCATAGTCTTTTGAAGGGAGGCATTAACTTGGGATTCTTCCTTTCAGATGACTCTACCCTGTGTCAAGTTAATGTAAAATTAGCCAGCATGCAATCTTTCTGCTTTCTCTTCCATAATGATCCTTGAGATCTGTGGGTAGGTGTATAATGTAGGTGTTCTAGTTAGGGTTGAGAACTCTAGAGTCTCTTATTCTCTGCAAGGTGACCCATTATGAGTTTCTGTGTTAGTCACTATTAACTTTGAAAAGAAGGTTCTCTGATGAAAGCTGAGAGAAGGACTAATTTATGAATATAAAGTTAAGTACCCACTGGTCAAATTGTTCATATGTCTTCTCAACAGAATAATAGTAATAATTTACCCCCTGAGACTAGTCATCTATCTATCAATGGGTTCTAGTAAGTCCTGTCTTAGAAAACAGGCCTTAAATCCAATTAGAAAGTGGTTGGTTACTCCCATAACATTTATGCTTCAATTATACTAGTGGGCATATAATGCCAAGGCCAGTGGTTAATGGAACTCATAGTTTTGCTTACTTTTCTCCCTTGGTAGCATGCATAGCATCTTCCAGCTCTATGAAAGTGAGTGGGGCTAAATCTAACAGGTTGGTATCAACTGTCTTCATACTTCTTAATTAGGATCATCTGTAACTTCAATAATCTTTGAACTGTTTATATAAGCAATTTCCCAGCTAATTCATCCACTTGACCCTCCTCTATAAATTTTCTATTTCCCTTATATTATTTCCCAGTGCTATTCAGCTTACCTTTCAATTCAGACCCTTATTTATTAAAATCCTAATATCCTATTATTTATTATGCTCTTTGTCTCTTTATTTTCTGAAAGTTAATAGAGTTGAAATGGTAATTACTTTTACCTGATAATTACTGCATTTTTATAGTTGGTCTATATATTAAGTAGTATTGAGATTAAGCATGGTGCACTGAGTATTTGGGTGAAAAGTTGGGGATTAAGCTATAATCCAAGTTCAGATAAAGAATGATTATAAGAGCATAGTGAGAAAAAAAGAGTACATAAATAAATTCTTAAATGCATTCAAAGACCACACAAAAAAACTGCAAAAATAAGGAGCTCAATAAATGGTTTGTAAGAATATTTAATAATTGTAACTTGATAATTAAAAAACATACTTAGTTAAATATAGTTATGTCCAAAGCCACAACAAGGGAATTGATCCAGTAATCACACTTGGAATTGAAAGTGAGGAAGGTGAATTAGAACTTCTACAAAACAATAAAGGTAAAATTGTAAGCAAGTATAAACAAACAAAATATGTATGATATATGGGACACCATCATAAAGACTGAATTCATTCATAAATCGTAGGCACAAAAGAAGTACAAGTCAAGACCATAAAAGCAGAGTTAATAAATCATAGCACAAAATTTCCAAATCAAGATGAGAACACAGGAAATATTTAGAATGCTAAACA